GCTGCCGAGATTTAACATCCTCTCTACACGTTATGCAGGGAGACGGTGGCACAGGCTTCCCAGAATTTCTCTGTTTTCGAGTCTGAACAGGCATGGTGGTTAAAAACCGTACAGAACTAGATTTGATATCAGTGATGTCTTGGAACAAGTGACAAGTTACCGACAAGCGTCGTATTTTTATGGAGGCACATTTCCTTTGATGTCTTATTTGCCACTTGTAATCTGGAATCTTAATAGGTATTAGCTTCTGAGGTACCGGTGTGATTAACCACAAAGACTGATTTTGTCACCTTCCATTCTTGAAACCCTATGATCGGGGAGTGGGAGCTTGGGACAACCAATGGGAGCAGCTTTTGGAGTGTGATTGACAGTACCAAATCATTGACGCCCTTTCTCCGAAGTTTTTTTTGGCACTCCAGATCACCAGCAGAAATCGACTGAACTTTCACCAAACAGCCCCCAAAGTTTTTTTTGCAATAAAAGGCCACAGATAGGCCTTCTGATGTACATAAGAGATACTGCATACGTACAACAGATACTGCAGATATACACCAATGTCACGAACATTGACCTTTAATAGTGTCTAATGGTGTTATCCCCCACCTCACTTTTCAATTTTTTTTTGGCCTGGCAAGTCTTACACCTCCACCTTGCCCCATTCCCTCCCCCCCAATACCGGTAAGATTTAGGCAAATGGAGGAATTCATCCATACAGGCCTTAACTGACTGTCCAAATAACGCAAATAGGTTGGTAATTTCAAACAACACAAATAAAATCATTTTGAAATAAAAATGTGCAATATTTCCTATTGGCTTAAACTTGGAGACGGTTTTGAAGCGTCATATGTCTGCTTGCGAGCTCATTATTAATATTTTGTGATCCCACGGTTTCTTATTTTCTACAATAAGACGTGCCATAACCACGAGGGATCATAGAATTATTTATATAAATCCCGAATTTGGGATTGATAGTTTCCGGTTCAGAGTATTTCTTTCACAAAAAGCCTCACAATGCGGACTTACTTTGGATAGAGGCAGGCGGCTACATTCATATGAGCGCATAGTTTTACTACTATTAGGGGGGTATCTTCGGGGAAAGGCGAATAAAAAAGTTCATAAAATTGAAACGAAAAGTGATCAATCTGGCCATAATCTTGAATTTCAAGCGGAAAAAAATTATCTTGAATTTCTAGCGAAAAAAATGAAGGCCAACCTCTTCACGAGGTTCAAGAGTCGGCGCTATTTCGGTCTTTGGGCGCGTATTTGGTGTAATGCAACCGTAAGACTCAGTGGGTCTGAGTTGACTCGAGGTGGGTCAGAAATGGCGTGGGTCCGAGTTGGCTGTAGGTCCGAGATGGTCGTGGGTCCGAGTTAGTATTGGGCCCGAGTTGGCGTGGGTCCGAGTTGGTCCTGGGTCCGAGTTGGCATGGGTCCGAGTTGGCATGGGTCCGAGTTGGAATGGGTCCGAGTTGGTTTGGGTCCGAGTTGACCTGATCCCGCTC